TGATTCAATTAGTAGATAAATCAATAAATCAATATTTCTCCCGTGGTATTCATTCTGAAGCATCTGCATGTAATAGCTAAGAAGTGTGGAAGTATTGTACCATGTCAGACATATTGTTTGAATCTACAGACACTTTTGAACAAGTTATGATTCAATATATTTGTAAAATGCTTTATATCTTTTTTTCTTAAAATAGAAACAACTTTTTTTCAAGCAGCAGATTGTTTAAAAATCTAACGATAAAGCAGGACAATAAAGTCCAATAATCCTTAGGCTGATTTAATTCTGTAGTAGCTGTCAATGTTATCTTTAGCATTTAATGAAGCTAATTAGGAGTCACTAGTTTATTATATTCAAAGATATATTTGATGTAATTGCCATAAACATTAAAGGTGGGGTAGGTAATTCACTTCAGAAACACTTTTGTTATATTCCATGGAATGCTCTTAACATCCCGATAGCAATGAATACATTAAATGCTTTGACAATAATACATAAATAAATGTCATCTGTGGAAGCCGTGGCGCTGTAAAAAACACGACCAATTATTTTAGCCAGCCCGGCTGGATGGCCTACCTGCCTGTCAGCCTTCCATCTCGTGCACAAACTTATCTCGTGCCCTCATAGAGAGGCGAAGTCCCACCCATCTACTTCCGACCCATGGGACCTTATTTCGGAAAAATTATGTATTGAAGTCAATGGGGAGAGAAAGATTATCTTTCGATCCCGTTTGAATTGTGACACGAATTACACATATGATGTTTGTCAATCTTAAATAATCATTTCCATGTAAAAAAAGTCACATTTTGTCGTAAAACTGTTGAAATATAAGACTATGAAAAATACGCAACTAGAAAGACTACAAATCCCAGAATCCCAGTCCCGCATGCTGGCTCTTACGAACCGACTAACTCCCCTTTTGTGTGTGTACAGCTCTCAACATGCCCAGACTTGTAGAGATTTTCACCTCTTTTAATACTTTTCGCCTCATTCTGAAAGAAAGAAGTGAAATGTGCCAACGTGACGGCCGTCTTGGTGTGTGGTGCGAGACGGGAGATGTAGTTTATTGAGCGGTTTCACACAAAAAAAAAGACACATTTTTATTTTTTTGACTTGCAAAATTATCTTTTAAATTGACAAACATCATATGTGTAATTCGTGTTACAATTCAAACGGGATCGAAAGATAATCTTTCTCTCGCCATTGACTTCAATACATACTTTTTCCGAAATAAGGTCAAATGGAGGTCACCCGGAAAGGGAGGGACTTCGCCTCTCTATTGGTCATGTGCGCGTTCGTGTGTGTTGGAGGAGGGGCTCTGTAAGGAAGTCTGAAGGAAGGGGCAGATTTTTTTCGGCTGCGTACTTTCAAATTATAGCGCACTCGAGCTGGTTTCTCCATCCTTACCCTACCTTTAAGGTGTGCTTCTGAATAAATTTAGTTCAAAAAGCTATATCCAACTAAATGTACAGTATTGGTCCAATTTCTCCTCCCATAAGAGAACTGAGCTCTGAATGTTTCTATTACATTGTTGTTGTTCATGTGCATTTGGATAACATCAGTATTGTATGAGGATAACATCAGTAGGTCTTGAAGACCAACAGAGTAATATTTGCTTGTGTGTATATTGGCTCTGATATATGAGGCTGACACCATTACTTATATTTGAGTTTGGAAGTATTTATCTGCTAATAGTCATCAAGATTGTTTGTTATGATTATGTAATGGTAAGATTCTGCCTAAATGTCTTAGGCATATATTTAGCATGTCTGTAATTTGATCTCCTTTATACGCAGATAAATATCGATTTATCTGCAATTAGAGGATATTTGCCAAAGGTTGGCCCAGTTAATGTTTTGCTTTGAGCTTGTTTTTAATAAACAGGCCCATCTATAAACCAGAAAGAGTGATAGATGGAAGGGAAAGTGTTTAAATCAACGCATTTGGAGAGAAAACATATAAATTCTCCTGACAGTGATGACATGTATATCTAGGCTACCTTTCACTAAAGTGTACATATGTCAGTTGTGTGTGTGTGTGTGTGTGTGTGTGTGTGTGTGTGTGTGTGTGTGTGTGTGTGTGTGTGTGTGTGTGTGTGTGTGTGCGTGTGTGTGTGTGTGCGTGTGCGTGTTAGAGAGAGAGAGCTGCGCCTGTGGTGATGCACTAATAAAAATCAGGCAGCGATGCGTCCTCACACCTTCCTCATTCCGCCCGCCGGTTCGCATCCGTTACCATGGTGACCAGATAAAACTCACACTGTTTTAAGCTCCAACTGGAGGAGGAGATGGATACTGACAAAGTGACACACACACACACACAGACACACACACAAACAAACACACAGATGAAGTTCCTTCATACACACACATCCGTCAACAGAGCATCCTCTTTCAGTTCCCTAAATGACAAGCAAACAAATGCTAATTTTCTAACCAACAGCAACACCGGCAAACCTTCAATTAGAGCAAGAGACATGGCTAGATAGAGAGATAGCAAGGAGGTATGACAGGGGAGTAAAAACCAGGAAAGCCAGTCTGCACACAAAGCCCTCCTCTGTTTGACTGTCTGCCTGTCTGTCTATCTATCCGTCTACTCCCCCCCGCATTGCTGCGTGAACGGGCCTCAACGCAAACAGATTTGGCTGTCAAATACTGACACGACACCCAGGCAGGGTCGTCTCGCAGTGAGGCCAGCTGTCAGCAAACACCCTCCTGCCTCTTCATCAAAGCCCATTCAAACTCAGCTTTATTGACCAACACAGCCGTCTGTGTGACATGTGTCATCCTGTCAAGCCAATACCTTGGCATACACTGTCCCTAATAAATGGCGAACCACTAGAGCATCTCGAGTGCTATCGAAAGAGAGAAAGCTGTACATGCCATCAGGAGCTGATAGATGGAGTAGATGGATGGATGGACGAGGTGTGTGTTGGAGTGTAGTGGGGTGGGAGGAGCGCACACATGCACTGTGTGTGTGTGTGTGTGTGTGTGTGTGTGTGGTGTGTGTGTGTGTGTGTGTGTGTGTGTTGTGTGTGTGTTGTGTGTGTGTGTGTGTGTGTGTGTGTTGTGTGTGTGTGTGTGTGTGTGTGTGTGTGTGTGTGTGTGTGTGTGGTCATGATGCTGAAACAGGCCACCAGTCTGTACCAGGGAGGGAAAGAGATGAGATGAGAGGAGGCTTCAAGCCAAAGACGGACGGGAAGAAGAAGAGGAGCACTGTGTTACTAATAAGACCTATTCATCAGCCCTGGTGAGAGAGATAGAGAGGGAGGGGGGGGGGGGGGGAGGTGGAAGATACAAAACAAAAAACCTCTGAAATCTTTTTTTTCCTTTTATTTAAATGAGAGTTCAGTTTTTTTTTACAACAGGATGATATTTCTATAAGAAATGGCCTAATGATGATGGCCATCAAACACCAGAGAATAATTCAAATTTATGGAGACAAATAAATGTTTTGCATAAAATTATTGATCACGACATTCTTTAATATATATAAATGTACTGTAACATATGTTCATGGAGCGTTTTTCTGTATATTACATTTTTTTCAAGCATATGGATGACTTGTCCTGATCAGCTTAGTCACAGAAAGCTGGTCATGTGAATGTATATGTATGTATGTATGTATGTATGTATGTATGTATGTATGTATGTATGTATGTGTGTGTGTGTGTGTGTGTGTGTGTGTGTGTGTGTGTGTGTGTGTGTGTGTGTGTGTGTGTGTGTGCAGGTTCACACACATGCTCTTACTTGTTCATATGTGCATGTTTTACCATCAAACTGACTGGCCCGCTCTCAGCACTATCACACTGAGGGATCCGTGACAAGAGAGAGGGAATCCAACAGCAAGCTCTATCGATCCAGACTGGAAACCCCCCTCAGGCCACACACACACATACACACAAACACACACACACACACACACACACACACACACACTACAGCTGTGCTGGATCAATGAGTGCTCCCGTGTGAAGGACAGAGCCATACAAAGTGGCGCACAAACACACACCTCTATTCACACACTATTGAGAGGGATGAAAGGGGTTCTCGGTATCAGAGAGTGAGATAAGGGGCAGAGGGAGCAATACGTATCATCTGACCTAAACAGTCTCATCTGACACCCTGCAATTTGCAAATGCTCCACGGAGCAAATGTTAACACTGCAACGCACAACCCTGCACACACACACACACACAAAAACACACACACACACGCTGCACACATAGACACGACCTACAGCAGCATGTAAGAGGTTCAGTTTCAAACTCATGTTATCATTCCTTATTACACATTGAATGATTTGAATAGAGGATCAGACAAAGCAGAGAGAACAGCTTCAGACAAGGCAGACCCCTAGAGGTGTGGCTGCTCTCTTTTGGGTGACTGTGATGAGCAGCTAAACAGATCCATCACTCATCAAATTAGATCTCTCACACACTCACACACACACATGCACAAACAAGACTGCTAATGTCTGATTTATCTCTGCAACACAGCTATGAGACACTGCCTGAGTGAGGGTCCAGAGCTCTGCCAAGCAAAAGCCATATAATCAGACTTCCAAATGATTTGACCCTTTTTAAAACATTCCTCCATCTTTGCTGAAAAAAATGTATGTCCATGATACTTTAACATTGATTAGTATCCATAAACGGTTGTAAATGATTAAAAGCAAACAGGGTTTTTCCTTATATTCAATCTGATAGAAAATCTGACAGAACAAGGTATATGTGTTCTGGGATTTATTCAGTGTAAAATAGTTTTTAGATTTCTCTAAAGGGCAAATGTTCTCCAGTCCATTGACATATTATGATGACATGAGATAATTTGCTTTCCATTATTATCCACCACCTGATCAAACACAGCAAGCACGCACTAAGCCAAATATAACTCAGGTGTACACACGCATTGAGTTTGCTGTGAAATTTCAGCGAGACTAACTATTTGGGGCCTGGTGTGTTTTTGTTGAAACTAATGACTGCCGTTGGCTGAATTTCCTACCTGGGACGATGGAGACGGTGTCTTTCTCCCAGGACACCACGCTGACGTACTCCTGGACGGCTGAGGGGATGAGGCACTTGAACACGGCGACATTGCCCCGCATGGAGCGCTCGTCGGCCACTCGCACTGTGTAGGGCTCCCTGAACACTGAGGTGTGGATAAAAGAACAGAAGTTAGTCGAGGTGAGAGTATGTCACAGTAAGGGAGAACAAGGTTTTAACTGTTGACAAGATTGTAAGAGTTAGAACTGTTTTAGTGTATGCCTCTGATTAAATGGGGCTCCAAGTAATTTGTCAGAGAATAGTTAAAAATGTCCATCACAATTTCCAAGAGCACAAGATTATGTATTAACTTGCTTGCATTGTCAGATCTACATTCTAAAACCCAAATATTTTCAATTGCAAATTATATAAAACACAAGAATTCATTGAATGTACACGTTTGTAGAGCTGGAACCAGCAAATGTTCAGCATGTTATGCCTTAAGGAAAACATATCAATGGAAGATGGTGTTGATGTTACTTTGCAACCTTGAATTTCGGCAATATGTAATGGTAGCAATGACTTTTTCCCAATGCAATCAATTTACCAAAGCCCAAGGTGACATCTTTCCCAAATGTCTTGGATGTGTCTTAAAGACGCTGAGAACAGCAAAACATTTAGTTTAATAAATACATAAATAAATAATCCATTATAAATCATTATTTTCCTGTAAATTAGTAGATTGATACATCAACTAATTGTTATACTGTAAAAGCCTCTTTCATTTTCACACTGTACAATTGACATCCTCTTGTCCCGTTTAACCCTTAGTAAAAGCCGGGGCAGGTCTTGTAAACAAACTTGCCTGGTGTCCTCTTCAACCCCATTAAGCAAGCATTTCCCTCCCTAGCCCCAGATTCTAAGTCACACTATGATTGTAAGGAGGGTTGACACAGAGCTGCTTTGAAGGGGATACACAGTGAGTCGCCCTTGGCCTTTTAAAGTACAACGCCACAGATGCTATGCGACGGCGAGGAGTGGAGGGTTGCTCATGGCCGATGGACCTGTCACATGCAGGCGCAAGGCATCAAAAACACACACCCTGCACATGGCATGCAGAGCACTAGGCTGTGAGTCTGTGTCAGTGTACAGAAAGGATGGTGGTGATTAAGACAGGCTTAATGATGAAAACAGTAGCCTGTAGCTAACCAAATTATCTCTCCAGTTAACTCCGTCACATTAAGATAAGTGAGAAAAGCAAAATGCTGAATCAGAGCATACATTTTCATTAAATAAATTAAGTAAAGTGAAATTAAATAATTGATTATTTGAGTTACCAGGAGAGACGGGTAGTTCAAGGGCATGCTAGCTTGACTCAATGAACACGGGCCTGTGAATTTGTATTAAGGGGCATTGCCACATTTTTGTCACTTTAACAAAAAACAGACTACATGACATGAGAAGGATGAAAGAAAAATTACAGAAATCAGAATGGCTGATGTTGGGGAGTGTTTCTGGCATCACAATCTAACACTGCTATTCAACCATGCTTCCCTTGGAAATGAGGACAGTAATGGTTTAACAATGTAAAACACACACACACACACACAACACAGGGAGTTGCCCCGCCCTCCCGTGTTTTCGCTCTCTCCCCCAGCTCTCCAGTGATATAATTAACGCCTAGCCTGAAGGCCAGTTTCCTTGGTCATTAATAATGCTTTATGCCAGCCGCCACTGTCACTGGAACCCAGTGGAACCAAAGCCGATGTCCTTGTCCAAATGGCGGGGAGTCTTTCACCTTAGGTCCTAGGTTTAATTTCCCAAGTCTTTGTCTGATTCCATCCATTGCTTTTACACTGTTCTACTTTTTCCTAATTGGCTGAACCTTGGACCCTTTATTTCTTCTTTGCCGACTTATGACGGGCTATGAGTACACTGGAGTAAAGCAGGGACTATTCTTTTAGCAGCATTTAAAATGTAACCGTGCATTATATACTATGTGTAACAATGCCAAACATAAATGAAGGTTATAACATTGGATTCTGGGTCTTTAGGCAAGGCAAGGCAACATCAATTAGAACATAAATTGTGGTGTTACTGATGATACTTTGTGCCTCAACTAAATGAATGGTTGAAGTAAGTTATCCTCTGGAGAGCATATCACTTCTCACTATGGCCGCCCACCTCACACTCAGGACACTAATGTGAGCTGAAGCCTCATTTGTAAACAAGTCAAAGCTAAAGGACAAATAATTCCAATCAAGTCGTCATTTCAATTATTCATTCAAACAGCCCCTGCTTCTCATTGATGTGATCTACCTACAGATCAATATCCAGGATCGACTGAGTAGCTCCAGCTATTGTGGCCCAGCCAATTCTTTCAATCATTTATTTACTCTCTGATTGACCCTGCTGCCTCTTGTCAATATCTGGGGAAATCCCAAATGCCCACTGTGCCTCTCATAGAGTGTTTCAAAGCAGTCTGACAGCTTGTAAAGGATTGTTGCAATGATGACAGAAAGCACATGCCAATTTAGTGAGGTTCAAATCCAGTCAAGGTCACTTCAGGTTCGTTCTCCCTGTGCTTTGACCCCGGCTTTTACTACACTTGTTAACCTCTAATAAAAGTGTTGTCCGACCACACCTAATTCAAACCAGCCAAATAAGCCCTGGATGGCAACATGCCCTTGTACACGACTGTGTAACCAGTTCCAATAAGAAGCAACTGTTCTGATAGCATTTTCATTTAACACACGTTCCTCCTCCAAGATATGAAAGACAGAGAGGATAGAAAAACATTACATATTCATTATCTTCAGCCTTGTGACAGGATGTAAATGGTAGCCCAACTGATTTGTGTGTAAATTGCACTCCCCCTCATCGCATGCGCAGCAGAATCATTAGGATGTTACTGATGCCTGACTATATGCAGCCTGGTTGCCTAGGAACGAGCTAAAACACGGGTCTGGTGCACTGGGCGCACTGGGAGGCAAGTCTTGTATCACTGTCGCTTCAATAATTAACGACGGGGAAACCAAATACTGCATTTACTTATTCATAAAGCGAGCAGCAAAAACAGAGAGAAGGAGAAAGAGAAAAATAATGACATACAAGGGGAATGAATGGATGCTGGTTTCATTATTAAATGGATAGCATAAGAAAAGCAGACCTTGTGTATCAGGTTCAGGGACCCTTCTTATAGTATTAGTAAGGAAATGTCAGCCAGAGATAAGATGAGGAGGGCAGATGGAGGAGAGCGATCTAAACACCTGCTGTCTTGGCCCGGGCCTACATTGGTTTGGGTGTCATGCTGGGAACAAAGGGGAGCTGAGGTGAGCTCATTGAACAGGTGTCCTCAATTTTCTTTTATTAACTTTGAGTAAAGAGGACTTGGGAGCACAGGGCTTTGAAATCCTCAGACTCTTATAGCACTTCTGACATAATGTGTATCTCTAAAGATGGATGTGAAGAAATGCATTTGGAAAAGATGCTCAGATGTGAAAGGAGATGGGATCCTTTAAATAGAGAAAGGCCTTATAGATGCTGACAAACTGCCGAATGTTTTACAAACACACAGAGAGCTGTAAGGTTTACAATCCAATTCACAAAAATGGCCTAATACAGATTTTTTTGTCAATGTGAAATAGATTTTTCACCGCCTTTTTTTCCTTGAAAATACTCAGTTTATAAACTGCAAATCTTTTAGGAGACTAAACCGATAGACATCATTATCCTTCTGAAGGGAAGAATAGTTGAGGATGATGTGTAAACTTTGACAGTTTCAAAACTGCTAGAAGTCGCAACCTCCACAGATCATTACAGTCACATGAAGGTAAAACTAACAACACATTTATTTTTTAAGAAATTATTCCTCGTATGTATTTAACAATAATATTTGAAACATCAATATTTGTAGTGGTTTAAAAATCGGAAAGAAAAATAGATAAAATCTGCTAACACGCTGGTACGGTATGAGAATGAGTCCGGTTCAAAGACCATGATCGGGATGCCCATACAAATTGTATAATATTAATATCATATAAAATAACATATGTCCTAATTTCATTTATTAATCAAAATATGTGAGCTGTCTATCAAAACTTTAAAAATACAGATCAGGGAGACCACATAGTGATTTTCATAAATGCAGAGATTTCCAGACAGGTGCTAGTGCTATTATTGGCCCACAGTCAGCATGCATGGGAAAGGGTGAGAAAGAGGGGGAGGGATGGAGAGAGATTTGAAGATGTGAAGAGAAGGAAGGACGAGACGGATGGCAAGGAGTGGGGTAGATTTTTTGGGGGGGGTGTCACACTGCGAGCTGTCAGCTGCCATCATTCTCCTGCGCCACCTGAGACAGGGAATGCCACACCCTGGCGCTCACGCCTCTGTCGCCCATGGCAACTGCAGTGTTGTGTATGTGTGTGAGCATGCACGTGAGCATGTGTGTGTTGCGTAGGACTTTGGAGGTAATGAGGTGCACACACATGCACGTGAGCCCTGGTTATGGAGCTGTGGAGTTGTGATTGCCTCAGCATTTAATTGATTAATTGTTGTAATTATTTGGGCAGGAAGGTCATCCCAACACCGAGGCTGGCTAGAAGGTCACTCTCACGCTGGAGGGACTGTCCTCCTCTAGGGACCACACAGGCTATATGGGTGTGTTTGTAGAGAGAGTATGTGCGTGTGCGTGTGTGTGTCTGTGTTTGTGTGGTGTGAGGGAGACAATCCGGCAGCATTTTGGAGAATTAATTGTTCTCGTATCCATGTGTGGGGTAGGGAACTGCTGACTGTCTCTTCATGCAGGATTGATCAACACAGTCAAAATGTCTGCCTGGCTATTACCATGACCTGAAAATCCACTTTTTTTTTCATGGTTCTGTTCACATCTTTCCATGTCTGTAGCTGACTCTCCAAAAATCCTTCCTGCCAAACACCCTGACAAAGAGCTGGCAACTAAACACCAAGAGCCAGCTTGACGAAAATGGCTGTGTGTGTGTGCATTTGTGTGTCTGTGTGTGTCTGTGTGTGCATGTGTGTGTGCGTGTAGTTAGGGGACTTCCAGTCCATGGACAGATGGAGAGACTGGGAGACAGGAGGCTTGCTGGCATGGGCTACACACAGGCTGGTGTGCATGTAAGTGTGTGAGTCTGAGTGGGTGCGTGCACGTGCATATGCGTGTGGACAAACATGCACGCTCGTCTGTTGTATACACGTGTATGCCGTGTGTACCACATTAGGTCATATGCATGTGTTCATAATGTTTATGTGTGTGCGTGATAAGTGTGAGAAACAGCAGCAACATCTTCCCTCAGTGTGTTCAGCGCCTCTCTCCAGCTTTGACCTTGGCAGGGAGTGCGGACAGGTCAACAAACCAACTGTCTTTGTAGCTGCGTGTCTGTCTTCTAGTGGATTTTTAATACAAAGGGTCAAGATGCCGCACTTTGAGAAACTTCCCCCCCACTGAGAGAAGTTGTTGGTTGAAGATGCTAATATGACTGCCGTTTAGGTGACCATATTTTCAAATGCCGGACAGTAACTAGGTAATGCTGTCATGACGATTTCAATGACACAACACGTGCATCAAAGAAAAGTGCTCTATTATGATCTACTATTATAATAATTTAGCAAAGTGATGTATTTGGGAATTACCAAAAAGATAACCTATACCTTCTCTTGAAGGGGTCCGGGTTATTTCAGATTGAGCTTGACAATTAAACTTTTTAACAAAAAGGCTGTGTTACAAACTGGAGCTGTGGGGTTTAAAAGATGTGGGCTTTTTTACCAGGTAGGGATGATTTAATAAAAGACAATATTTAATTGCATTATGGGAATTGTGCGATCCGCCACTTTAAAAGCATGATTGATACAAGGGAATAATAATCACGATATCTGAGCTGCAGATGTCTCTTATTTTGATTTGTCTCTTGTGAGTCCCCCTTTTTAATGAAAGTCCAAACTAAATTATATCACAGCATGTGTCCAGCAGGAGCCACCAGCACGGCATAAATTATTGACAATTTTGTCGGATATTGATTGAAAAATGTAGATTCTGATCCAACTAAAGATAGTGATTTAGAAGGGTATACTAACATGTAACCCTTAATAGTGTTAGCAAGCGAGATGAAGAGGCTACTGAGCTACAGAAGGTTAGCAAAGAGCTGTGCCAAACTATTGTTGCACCTTGCTCTGGTTCATTTCCAGGCTGAAAGGGCCAATTTCCAGTTCCAGTACACTTTGACAGAGAGTTCCCAGTTCTGTCTTTGCAGTTTGAGGGAAGTTATACTTGATTCAAGAGACATCCAAAAGCTTAATGAGGGAAATGTCACAGTTCAAAATACCTTTAGAAAGCATGTGCAGACATAAACTATTTAGCATCATTGGCTTAGTTTGCGTCTATTGTTTTCAACCCTCACCTGCTTTGATGTGGATGCTTGGGCTACGAATCTTGCCAGCTTGGTTCTCAGCAGTGCAGAAATACTCGTTGTCATGGATAATGCTGTTATAGGCGGAGGGGGAGAATGGGTAGAGCTGGAGGGTGCCGTTGGCGTGCACGTGGCGGATATGGGGCACGTCGTAAATGTCGTCTCCGGCAGCCAGGTACCAGCGCAGGACAGCATGGGGGGCGCCGCCCGCAGGGCAGGGCAGGGACACCCCCACCGAGCTGGAGAAGGTCACCCGCTGCAGGGAGGCATTCACAAAGTACAGCCGCGTAGAGACAACATCCTCACTGTTGACTGTTGGGATGAGAGAAAGGGAGACAGTCAGTTAGTTGGTGTAAGACATACAGGCAACATTCACATATGAGACTGTGCCCTTAAAATGATTATGGAGTACAATAACACAAAACCCATAACTATTTTCCAAGTACAAAAATAAGAAAGAACATATAGCACTTAACCAGCCATATTTACAAGGATGAAACATCACAATGTAGGTATACAAATGTTAACAGTCACAATTGCAGTAATTATTTACTTAAACGAGTGCTTTGCAGATGTATGATACAGCAATGTTGAGTATTTCTTTTCTAAATGTATGTTAAACTGGCTGACTAGTAAGGTAAGGTAAGTGTTAAGGTAAGTTGTAAGGTACAGTATGGGATCAGGAAATCAGCCAACTAACTCAATGACAAAACGTTTCAACAATAAAAATGATGACTTTATAATAGTACAGTACGTTTTACACCAAATATGCTGAACTCCCCTCTAAATAAAAAGCATTTCATCAAAATTGGTACTTTACTTAGTCAGTAAATGTAAGATTGTTTAATAAAACATCTTGAAAGCAACCGACAATTTGAAAAAAGAAACAAACTGAATTTAGGGGTATTTTCTTTACTGTATTGTTATTTTAGCACAGTGAGTTCAAGGGAGCAATTGACAATATATTAGTGACATTCACTGGAAAACGGATATTTTGAACTGGGCAAGTCTCAAATCTCACAAAAAGGTACCTCCTGATATAACTCAAACTCTCACAGGCAAACTCATAAAGTATATAAGTTTGATCTACGGGCATTCAGGTCACCTCCACCCAAACAACTTCCTCCCTGTGTGCCAAACTGCAGAAATCCATCTCATCCCATATGCATTATCCTAATATCTTTAATCTAATATGTGTATCCAGAGAGCCCTTTGGAAATCTGCCTCTCAATATCAGAGAAAATCGGGTCACATAACTCAACTCCTCAACCAAACATATCTGTTCTGTTGACATCCTCCGTTATTCAGGGAAACAGAAGAATTTACACTTGCTTGATAGCAAAGGCTGTCATATCCACTGAATGTAGCTCTCCATCTAAAGCCGAACAAGCCTGAGGAGCTGGATACCGCAGATGTTTGCTGTAAAACATTGTTATTGTGGCACAGATGAAGAGCTACAGCCAGATCCTGTCCTAGGGGAGACAGACCAACATATATCCTCGCTCTTAAATGCCCTCTTCCAGTTGAGAGTGGGGTAGTCATCTTTTCAGATCTGTGTGTTTCTGTGTATGTGTTTGCTGTGACTGGGGGGGTGGGGGTGTAAGGCACTGTAAGATGTGCTGAGCTCAGCTTGGCTAGAGGCCAATAGAAAACCGCTGTGGCCCGGGCCAGAGAACTTTCTTCTCAGACAATGATACTTCATTAATCCCTTTTCCTGGATTGTGTCAACAATGCCTGGATTAACCCTATCTCTTTCATTCTCTATGCTCTGGGAGAAAATAGGATGTTGGCTTAGATACATCAATGAAGATATTAAGACACTATCAGATGTCATTTAGGCTCTAATTTCTACAGATCCTCTACATCAATGGACATAATAGCTATCAAATAAGGAACAGAAGCCCACTGGCTGTCTCTTTAAGCTCCTAATACATCTCAAAAACATGGATGAATGGCTGATATAAAAAGACAATTTCTATATCTGTTCTGTTCAGTATAAATAGGAACATTCAAGGACATAATGACATTAATAACATGGAATGAATAGGATGAATCACACGAGGAAAGGCTCAAAAGTAAAATGCAGGGATTAGGGATAAAAATCTCAATTGACAAGGGGACTTTTCTTGTCTTCTATTGTCTGTTCTTTGATACTTTATGCATTGGTCTGAATCTTTCCATCTTCTCATTTTTGTCTTCTTAGTTTGCGTTTCCAATCTGCCATCATTCTTTCACCCTAACCCCTTGAAGACACTGCCTCTCGTCTTTTTCTGCCACACAAGAGACAGGCAATGTTATGTGATTGGAATTTGTATGCCAGACGCAGAGAGTTAAACCCACATAATCTCCTTTCACATTTAACACACAAAGTCTATCCACTCTGTAATCGCACTGCCGTGGGAGGCCGTGTCCGACTTCCCTGGTTCTCATGTGTGTGTGGGTGTGCAGCGGAAGGGGAGATCAGGGAGCTAGGCCGGAGTGCGATATTGTAGACAAGGCACGGGTGGCTGGTCGGGGGGGGAAAGGTGCTCAGGTGCAAAGGTGTTCGGATGCAACGGGGCGTGTATCTGTGTATCTCGTTGTGCTGTAAGGTCAAAGGTATAGAGAGGTTAATGTTGAATGACTGCCTCAGTTCTTGATGTCAAACTCAGCCAACAGCAGATGCTGAGTGGCACAGCAAAAACATGTGATCGCGACTTAAAGCACAGCGAAGATGCCGAAAAAGGTAGAGAGTCGTTGTTCTCCTGCCTACCAGCTAAAATTGGAGCAGATCCTCTGTGTTCAAAAATCTGAATTCAGGTCAAGTTCAATCCATCCTACCTTTCGAATCCATGTCAATCACTCTCACAGGCTGCTAGGCTGAGTGATCTGCATTTTCAGCACCACGGAGAGCACCACAATGTGCTGCTGGGTGAGGAACACATGGAAGTGTTTCCATACGGCCCAAATAAGCAGGAAGCTATTAGAAGATGATACCAGTGACAGTGACCTGCATCTCTCTGATGGCAAATGCTATTTTTATAAGGAAAATGTTTTCATGACAAAAACGATGTACTCTCTCGCTGTAAAAGTCCTTGTGAAAAAAACTGGAAAGGATCTTGTGTTCAGATCACAGATTTTCCTACCAAATGTTTTGTTTAATGCAGCCAAAAATGTATCCTTTTTTTTTTTAATATAGTAGGCTTGGTCAAGTGTAAATGCATTCATGCTACTACATGGTATGGCAGCAGCTGGTTGTGTCAACAATTTATGTCCATTGTTCGATTGTTGCCGGCTTTTTTAAATCCAAAACTCGGTGTCCAGGCATGAAGTCAGCTTGTTGAAGCTTAACAATTACTGGTTTGAGATAAGCATCAGCGCAGAAGTGGATTCACGTTTCTTTCTTTTGTCAAATCATAATCTCTATTTTGGTTTTTGTTTCTCTGAGCCATTCCACAATATATCCAGGTACTCTCTGGTAACTACAGAAGTACCCTCTTTAGGGCAAACGTTTCCTCAGTAGGGAATCACTGCTTATTAATAGAGGCTCCCAAACATTTGGCTTTTACCCCCCTAAAAGAAATCAATGTCTATACTAGCCATTTTCAACAGCTTGTGACCAATTGCCTGAAAAGGGGTCCTGATTCCCAAATTGGAAAACTACTGCTTATTCCTAATAATCCCTAAAATGGGATAATCTATTGAAATAAAATAAACTGAAAACCTTAATATGAATTCAAAACAGCTTGGATGCACCAACTAAAAGTCAGAGAAAAAACCTCTAAAAAGCAGCAGCTTATGATGCGATGGCTAACCGCTTTGTCCTATAGTAGGAATTCAGGTCACTGAATTCTCACACACACACACACACACACACACTCATGCACACAAAGACATGTGTGTATATCCACATGGAAGTGAGCTGATGATGTCGACCACGTGTCATCATACGGCAGTCATGGTTTGATTTCAAAACATCAAAAATAAAATGACGAAGTATGAGAGTGTCAAAGAATTTTCAAGAAATTGAAAACTTGTCCATATGTTGTCTTTAGAAGTTCCCAGGATGCAGCTGTGGGTCATATTTGATGTGATATACACATGGAAGAGCTTAAGTGTGTTGTTGGACAATAGTGTAATTCTTATTTGTGTTGTCTTCCCTGGAGCTTTTCCCTCTTCAGTATATCTGACAGTTGAGGAACACAAATGGGACAGCAATCATTGGCATTGTTTTCAAAAATGCAGTAGGCTGCATCAAGTAGCATGATTATGAACATAAATACATTTATCCAACAGAGAATCAAATTGGAATACATTAAAGATGACCACAGGGAAACAAAAAAAAACAATGCTATCAATAATCAACTGTTAATATATCATGCATATAACATGAGGCACAATAACCTAGTTTATCCTCTTTATTTCGGCAACATCTAACCTCAGATGGTTATCAGAGTCCTTTCATAGCCACAGGCTCACTTTCCACCCCATCCCCAGAAGAGAAAGAAGGAGCAAAGGAGCAGCACTCATCCGATCCTAACCTGTATTTTGATTTCCTTCTTCAAGCCTGGGCACACTGATTACAATAAAGAAGGTCAAAGTGATTTAGGGTGAAAACCCCAGAAACATATTTTGTGTCTGCTCAACCTCTCACACTCTTTTTCTAAATATATTGATTTTGTTCTGTTTTTATTTTTATTTTATTTTTGGCAGTGTTCCTTTTTGTCTCAAATCTTTCCTTGCTTTACACTCAAATACATTTGCACTTTTTCTTCCTGTTTTTGCAGTGGATATGAAAATGGAGTATGAATATGTATGCTGGAGAAGCAAGGATATTGCCTATGGTGAACCGCTATGCATAATGCAGCTTTTTCTGTCTCATCTACATTCATTCAGACACACACAGAGATTCATACCATCACGTGCATAGAAAAACAGGGCTATAAATCCCTATCCTTCTCTCTTTCTCTCCTTCAAAACACACAAACACACACAGACACATACACACAAAGTCCCATAAATGCATTTCAGATTGCATATACATGTTCATAATAGCAAGTCGATTTTCTATGTGGTGAACCATGTACTTCAGATAACCGCACACAAAACACATTCATGCTAAATAACACAGAAGCATAGAAGTCAGTGGGAATACAGTCTATGCAGTGATGCTACTGAAAATGGCAGAACATAAAAGGCAAAAGATATGATCATATTCGAGAGTGCTGCTCATTTATACAATGACTCCAGATTGAGATATACATTAGGGTTGCATGACAATGCGTCTCTCTGCCTTTGTATGAAGTCAGAAAGAAAATCATTTCTAACAGTCTCATTTCACTGGCAGAAATGCTGTAGTCAAGAAAGAAAAACTGCATGGCGGATTAGAAATGTGGATACGTGCACACATAGGGGACGTTGGAGGGGGTGGTAAACAACTCATACACACAGTTTATGCAGTGTCAGTAAAATATTAGGCAGCCATTTCAGTATTTGGAAATTCACATCTCCTACATCAAAAGGATGATTTCCGTTGTTGAAGTGAGTGTCAGATTTGTAGAGATGTGTTTTTTTCTATTCTCCCTCAGAGACAGGGCCAACAAATTGTTTGATAGTAAGCAGAATAGCAGAGAAGTAGAAAAAGAGTGAAAAACAGAGTCGATTTTGAGATGTAAAAGGTGATCGTTGGATTATTTTGTCGTTCACGACATCAGTCTTTCTACGTGCGTAATGGAGAGGGCACCAGGCTACCGGACACTAGTGTTGTGTGTAAAACCTGTTGAGTGGGCGGTCAAAATCCACTTCTCTGTGTGACAGCTTAGTGCAATAATGATGTTGTTGCTATGGGCTTTAAAATATACAACTGTGTGATGATAAACAGTCAGATATTTGGGAACGTTGGGATTGTTTTTGTTTGAGTAGTGCGTGACAAATGAATAGGCTAAAAGCCCGATTATCCCTCTTACCAAGTCCTTTTCAAATCCTATTTTTCTTAAGCGAAAGAAAAATATCCCGAAATCAATTTAAAGAACGTTCCGTTTTAAGAAAAAGTGCTTTAGAGCGCAGTTAAGACAACCGAAACGATCATCTCACGATTGGTCGAGGTGTTCGTGTGTTTCAAGACGAACACAAATCTTCAGACGTGTACAGATGAATGTGTTTGTGCTGCACTGGTCAACTGCCAAACGCAGAGCGCTAACACTTAACAATGAAAACAGGCTTTGCTCGCCGGAGCACAACGAGGGGGGCGAGTTAACCTGCGAGTGACATGTAGCTATTATACTGTGGAGCTGTCTCTCTATCCAAGAAAACTGACAGGTGGTGCAGGCACGGGGGGACTCCGAGCCGGAGAAATAGCACATAGATCCATTTAAAGTTTCAATTATTGTGAACATTTTTTGAAAATGATCGAGCATATAATGCTTCATGGATAAATTGTAAGTACTTCATCCAAATTACAGTTTTGATCTGAATGAGTGAACTTTACACACAGATCTTTATAGTTCTGCAGTCCTCACGACTCTGTTACACAGAATCCCTTCCAAGTTCTGACCATGTATCTGTACCTCGTTTGCTTTCCATCAAATAGACAAAACCAGGGAAACTTGAACTTTATCACATAGCACAATTCCTAAACAAAATCACCCTGATATTATGCTTGATATCACAAAACATATGCGCGGAGTTGGGATAAAACTCTGAAGTTGTTTCTTCCATCACTTGATACAGCCTCAGTTGTCCAATCCTGACGCGACATCTCTGCTGTAGCCTATAGCCACCAGAGTCTGACTCATACCGCAATTACCGGGCTCCCCCTCCAAGCACTTCTCCCAGTCTGTAACTGTTTTGATTCCAAATGTACACACAGCCTCAACTCGGCTGCTCAGGCCGGTCTCAATAATACACAAGAGCCCCTTGTAAATACATTTTAAACTTTTGTGAAATCCTTTTGAAATAAAAAAATGTGAAATGTGCAGACACAATAGCACACATGAAAACATTTCATCTTGTCATATTGCTTATATAAAGACTATACTCACGCATTACGGGTCTAAACACACGACGTTTAGTCCATCAAATTCAAAACATTTTAATCAAATGCAGACCCAAAATATGAGGCAGTGTTTTACACCTCTGCAGGAACACTGTAACATGTTCAGTTGAATGTGGAGTGTGTGTTGCAGGAGGCCTGTCGACTGAAACTGGATAAAACCGGAATCACATTAATTGATGAAATAATTATAGCCAGAGCTCTCACTTCATCTCGATAACTCCATTATTGCAATTACGGGTTGAATCTCCCAAATTCCACACCAAAACGACTGTCGTTGTTTCTTACTGATTTAGAAATATATTAATTGTAATAATTATTTTTAGCCTTTCCAACTTCTAAGGCCCTCTCCTGGCCTATCAGGCCTGAGAGTAGATTCCCACACATCCCTCAGCTGAGTTTGTCTCAATTGTATTTCCATAAAATGACAAGCAACATCCCAAATCATGACAAAGAAGAATTATTGTATCCTCCCCCCTCCTCTCCCTCTATCTCTCTACCCCTCTCCTACTCCTCTCCGCACTCATGGGTGCAGGTGTGCTGATATTCAGACAAACCAAAGCAAAGGCGGTCAGTAAGAATCTAATGTTCACGAATTAATGACAGAAAAAAAAAGATTTAAAAAAAAGAGTACTAAATCTTTAAAATGATCTAGTGGGGTGATCTGAAATATATCTTCATACTGGTGTGAAAAATAAGCAGAGTTGTGTGCCATTCTAGGAGGCGCGGCCGAGTCAGAAAATACGCAGTACTAATGCATATGCATGTATGATAATAGACCTACCTTTGCATTTCAAAATAAAGTTAATTAAAAATGATACATCTCTAAAATACACAGCAGCCACATGAGTACATACACCACAGTCGAATCGTGCAAAATGAGCGGAACATGGCGTTGAAAAACAACGGAAAATGGAAGTTTGTTTTCCACTGCGTTATCTACATCTCTCCCATCTCAAGCACTCTTTCCGCTCCAGTGGCTGTTTGCAGCCCCCAACCCTCCTCCACACACACACACACACACACACACACACACACACACACACACACACACACACACACACACACACACACACACACACACACACACACACACACACACACACACACACACACACACACACACACACACACACACACACACACACACACACACACACACACACACACACACACACACACACACACACACACACACACACACACACACACACACACACCTCGTTCAGTCACGGGACAGGGCGATGTACAGTGTGTATAATCGAAATAGACCCTGTAATCCAATTACATACAACAAGAACAACACAAAAGTCCTCGCTGCAGCCTGGCAGAGGGCACTGCCAAGGCCAATGAGACCAGGACCATGACACACGCGTGCTGCCCACAATTATAAACAAATGCTAAAGATGATTTCAAATGCGTCAACTAATAAGGTTTACAATGAGGCATGTCCAGTTACAGAACTGTGCGTATAAAAAAAACGATGAAATGTTAAGGAAAATACAAAATATTGTTTCTCCAAATTGTGGTTGTTATTTATATAAATTCATAAATAACAAAAAGAGCAGATCACTGTATATTTAAAGAGCAACCTGAGTCATTCTCTTCCATCTGCAGTATTTAGAGCGAAGCCAATCAGTGGAATCTGGTGCCACAGAAAATGGTGGATGAATAATTAGACCAGGGATGATAACAACTGAGTCTGCATACACTGACACTTCTACATATGATCAAAGAAAACAAACTACGATATATTGCCTCGTATTTTATATATCCAACTGGGGCACATTATCTAGAAATTAAAGGCCAGCGCTCAATACCCCCAGCATCAGTTCACACGTCTCTCATAAAATGTATTGACCCTTGTTGCCACACAGCTACACACACACACATGCACCCACACAAACTGATGTTAATGCTCTGTTTCAGTGTTCCTTTAGGGAAAATAGCTGATAAAAAGGATGCGTTAACCCCTAGGGACCCCTCCTCTATCTTCCTCCCCACGAGCGCGTGCACGCACACACACACAAACGGCAACATCTTATTTGTGATAGGACAGGGCAGAAAAGTCAGCAAATACATTAAACTCCTCTGCCCTCTTGGACTTTTGCGAGTAAACACCCTACAGCTGTGGCCAACATCAACGCTCGAGGTCGCCCGTATACCCGTGCGCGCGCCTGCAGATCCTTATCAGCCTCTCCTATTCAACAGCCTCCATATTCACGACACCTCCACATATTCATTATGCAAAATGCAAATGCCGTTGTCTTTTTCCTCTTGACAAACGCAGTGTACACTTTTCAGATCGTTTTTTATCACTGTTCGTCCAAATTAAGTGCATATTGATTTTAAGCTCATGATCCCCTTTGTGATCGCTTTTAATCATATTATCAGCTGATCATTATGAGGCATGGAGAACGCAAGACAATCTGAGCACTCGTTTAGGAGGAAAATTAAGGCAGATCAGGACAACATCACTTCAAAACATAAAGAAAAAGTTAACATTCTTCTTCAGAAGGTGATTCAGAGTTATATTTGTCATTTCTGCCTTTCTTTTGTGATGCCAATCAATCCGATCAAACATCATTTTTCAACATGACAAGCTAATAAACATGCACAGCCAACTTCAGCTTCACTGTGGAGGAGACAGCATGCAGATAAGAAACACTTAAAAAGACATGTTGCCAACCTACCTTCTTGCAAAGAATACAGCAGAAGTAAAGTTACAAGCCACATGCCATTAAAAGCAGTTATATTTCACAGGAATGTTGTGCAGTCCCCCGAGAAGAGTGCACGGCGCAGGGGTCGTCCAGGCAAGGCTCCGTGCTGGACTGGTTCTGCTGATGCTCCCCGGCGGTCTCTCCAGCCCTGGTCCCACACTCTCCGGCGCCGAGAAACGAGCCGCGGAGAAAGTACCGCCTCTGCTCCCTGTTCTCTCCTCCCCTTACCGGGACAGGCTGCTGTCGCCCCACCCCCGGTATCCTAATGATGAGCGGCGATGGAGAGATGAGCTTTACGCACGAATGGGGGAACAGACGAAAACTTCTGGATTAAACGCACTTCTCCAAAATCTTTGTGGAATCCCAAAAGCAAAGTTTAAAATGTGCTTCCAGACAAGTCATTTAAATGTTGTTTATGAGAAGAAGAAGAAGAAGAAGAAGAAGTAAAAACAGCCGTTTGGGGGAAATGCCTTCGTGTATTTCCCATGCAAATCATCTCAATAATTTGCATACATCAGTTGTCATTGCTGCAGTGGAGAGCAAAGAGAGTCAAAGGAAAACCAATAGAAAGGGCCATTGTAATGTTAGAAAGAAGACGGGAGTGAGTGAGGTGTGCGAAGTCCAGGTGAAGAGGAGAGGGAGCGCAGGAGAGCTGCAGCCTCTGTTTCAGTCAAGGGGAGAGGGGGAATGTGCGCGGCGCTGAGTGTCACAACCAACTCACATCACTTTTTTTCAAAGCAGACTGAAACGTTTTAAAATTAAAGCACTAACTGCAACCAGTCTTAATGAAAGGGTGCGTATACTGTAATATGGTCAATCAATTAATAAAATGTTATCAGTGACACTCACACTTTGACACACTTGAACTCAAACAGGGGCGCTGTGTAATCCTTGTTGGTTACAGACTTGAGAATTGTGAATCTCTGAACAAAACGTATTGTACTTTTATCTTAAGGAAGGAAGATGGCTTTGAAGATGGCTTCCTCAGTGTTGTTCCTCTCTGTTTTGTGTTGTATACTGTGCTCTTTTACCAGAGAAGACCATCTAAACGTATTTTCTTAGATTTTTTAAGTTTGCACCACCAGACACCAAAGCAAATTCTTTGTACGTGTAAACTTGCCTGGCAATAAACTTGATTCTAAACTTGATTCTGATTCTTAACCATTAAGTTATATTAAAAATCTATGACAAATATTGCCGGATGCATTATAATATTTGAGAACAATGTGAGTTTAATATATTGCTAACTACTTAAATAAGACAACAGGGGTGAATCGGATTTAGCACCTTACCAAGATCCAATCTAAATCTGACTTCAGTTTGATGGTTTTCTAGTATGTAAATAGTGTATGTTTTAAATATTCAAAATAGTTCATTATAATCTTAACTATGCATGTTAGTATCAGCAGCCCAAGTGGGAGTGAAAGCCCCATCTGGTGCAGTTGCAGTAACACTGTGCTGGCTGATCTACAAACTTTTCCATCATTTAATTTTCTCCCAACCACTTTTGTACAGTCATATTTCACTTTAAATCAATAACAAAAGAAAAAACAATCAACAGACCCACATGGCCTCAGAGAATAATACACGGCACGGTTTCAAAACTGCTTCTTTAAATACTTTCCTCTCTACTTTCATTCAGTTCAACTCCTGAATAATCAACAGACAATAATATTAACCCTAAAGCACAGCGGATTGTTGTTCATCCATTTTAGTCCAAACTCTACTCGTTGTCCACTCAGTCACACTACTTTTCCAACATCAGACACCTTCTAATTGACATAACCTCCAACATCACTCTTTCTGTGTCTCTCAGTGTTGTAATGTGGCATTTTGAGTGTCGTAACCAAACGCAGTCCTGGTTGTGGAATGGAGCTGAGGCAAGCTGTGGCCTCTCTCACTCCCACTGAAGAGCCGCTGTAGTGTGGCAGGCAAGGGAGCACACTGTGCCTCCACTCTCTTATTATGTAACAGGTGGAAACACACACACCCACGCACCCTCTTATGTCTGGCTCTCTTTCAAACAGACCCACAAACACAGCGCGGCGAAAGGGACAAGTATAGAGTGTGCATGAGCACTTCCATTACACATTCTCTACATCCGCATGTGTACTCCAAAATTATTTTTATAAATGAACACAGCTTTATGCACATCCCCCAGTCAGTAACCATAGTCCAGGTTTACAAGTGCAGCCTGTAGTGTATGCCGAGTGAAACAAATAATCTGTCACAGCATTGGGTATTTCTCCCTTCCCAAAGTCATGTAACAGCACCCAACACCTTGACACTCAAACCAAACTCGTCATACACACAGGCTCCACCCTGCAGCCCTGTATACTAACACATGAAGGACTCTGTCAGGACTTCAAAAGGCAGTGTGGCGAGCTGCTTAAGAGGCTGATGTGAGTCGGCCTGACAGCACCAAGCAGGTTGTACTGTCAGCCAGTGATCATCATGGAGGCTGACAGGCTGAGCTGGGCCAGCCAGGCCAGGGAAAAGGCAAGAAGCTCCCAGACAGCTCGAGCGACTGTCACTGAGGAAAGGACCCAGGACAGGCTGCCACCACGCCACTAAAAAACAGCACCATGTGACTCATCTCCATCACTCTGCTCCGTCGTTGCCTGGAGATAGGGAAGGAGATAGGAAATAAGGGGAGTGAGAGAGTTTGTTGACTGAGGAAGAATCGGGGTGAGCCAGGCAGCAGAGAAACAGAAAGAAGAGGGAGGGGTAGGGGGGCAAACAGAGAGAGTGATGAGGCGGATAAGTTAATGTGGATGTTAATGTTAATGCTCAGACAATCAAAGCTTCCCCTCAGGCCCCGACTACATGCTAGGATCATATTAGTGCTAATGTATCCAGTATTAATGCAAAGCCCTGCAGCCCAGGGAAACCATAGCAAGGTCGGAATTAGGGGAGAAAGAGGGCACATGGTACTAGTGCTCAGCTCTGTACAAGGTCAAAGGGATCAAATGAGGATGGGGGGGGAAGTGCAGGAATACGGGCAATGCTGTAGGATTCTGGTAACAGGAGCTAAAAGAGGCAAAACACAGGATGATGACAACAATTGAGCACTTATTGTGTTAAAGAAACAGTTAGAAAACACAAAAACTGCAGTTTGTGTTAAGTGCTAGTCCCTAACATGGTCAAAGCCAAGCAATGTGCTGCAGAACTCCTGTTTCTCATCGGGGCCGCTAAGCTAGCTCTGCGGACCGCCGTGAATGAACGAGCCACTGCATTAGGCTAATATGAATCACACACACCACCCTGCCGCAGTACATTAACAGGAAGGCACCTACCAATGGACTGTGTTTGTCTTTAAACTAAGCATGCGTGATTGTTGTGGCAGATGTGTGAGTGTGTATCAGCACATTAGAGAGTGTGTGCATGTTTACATGGCGGCAAAGAGCAGGACATATCATTCTGGCGGCTCTCCTTCCCTACAGTCGGGTTTGCATGCACATGCATTTGGGAGTGTGTATTTGCTTGAGTGTGTACGTGCTTGCGTATGTGTGTTTTTGCATAAGAGTACATGCACGTGCACATGAGACATCAAGGGGTGTTAATTTATTCAAATGAGCTGGGGAGGATAACGAGAGGATGGGGTGAGGGGCGGAGGTGGTTTGTGTGTGTAGGGGGGCACCTTCTTCAGCTGGAGGTTCATCTCTCCATTTCTCTCTTTTTTCCTCCTCACTTGTTTTTTCACATTTGCAAATTAGACTATTTGAATGGCTGAGGAGGGAGGCAAGGGAGATGGGGAAGAAAGACGATAAGGTGGAAAAAGCGATAGAAAAAATGGGAAACAGTGCGATTCTGAGGCAGACAGAACGCCTGCAGACAAAAACACACCGTGCCAGGGCGATACCACCACTTCCAAGATGGCTGCCGCTAGAGGCGTCCTCTGTGGGACCAACCTAGAGACCCGCAGATCTCGCTCCGCAGTGGGTGACACACAAACACACTTTTCGACTTTGACTGTCTTCCTAAAGCATAACGAAGAGAATGAAATTTGAACAGCTCCGTTAATGATGAACATTTGAATTTGAATATATTAAAGACTGAGTCAGATGAATGTGGTTGTAGCTTGTACAGAGATATTGATCAGAGATATCTAGTGACACCCAGTGGTCACAATTAAAGATGTTATCATTAGACGATCATACTGTACACTGCTATTTAGGTGATCTTAGCTATTTTGTTGTGGTGCAAACTAACCTATGCAACAGTTCAAGGTGTTGATACATAGATCAATAATGCCCAACATCTGGCCTGTTAATCAATTATCTCCCCTTCCAAGAAGAACAAAAAGTCATTTGTTTTAAAGGTCCCCTATTATACTGTTTTTCATCAATATATTATAGGTCTCAGATGTCTCTGAATTTATTTGCTCAAAATACCAAACAGATAATGCATTGCAGCATCCCATAATCCCCTCTGTTTCAGCCCTGTTCCAAAAGTGCTGATTCTCTGTCTTTTACTTTAGATGAAAATAAGGAGCCACTCCCCACGCCCCTCTGAGAGATATTTGTTAAAAAAAAACACAATGGTGCTCTAGGAGGATATTAAGATGATAAGGTGGGGGGGGGGGGTTAGGGTTGGGGGTAGGGGTCACCTTGGTTGGTTATTGGCTAATGGTTACACAAGCTAAACAATCGTTATGACATCATAAAGTGGCCAAAATCTGATCAGCTCATTTTCAGTTTTTATATAAATGGATCAGGACAAAAAGTGAGCGAATCTTTTTTCTTGAAACTTTCAGAATCTCTTTACACAGAGGGGACACATGTTTATATGTAAACGACATGAAAAAGTGGATTTTGCATAATAGGTGACCTGATTAATGTCAGTTATAACAATCATTGAGTTATCCTTGCCAAACCAACAGAGTCCTATTTATGAAACCTTCTTAAATTAATCACAGATTTGAGGTGCACTCCTCCATTAACCGCAAAGGCAAAAACAAAGTGTGTTTCTGAAAATGTGTATCTGGTCATTCAAAAGGAATGTAGAAAGTACTTTGCATACTAACTGCCATACATCATCACAAACATAAATAAACTACTGTTTAGAGTCAAAACTTTACAGTTCTGGTCTGTTACATCACATTGAGTCAACAATAAACCAATGCGTTAGAGAGACAGAAAGAAAGAAAATAGTTGGCAGGTGCGAAAGGACGTTGTAGATCTTAGC